AAATTGTGAAGGAACAAAATAAAATGTGTATTGAAATAAATAATAAATGTGTTTCCTGAATAGTTATTGTCCAGAGAATTAGCGTAATAAGATACTCCGATAGGCGTAAAAACAGTCACAGATATATAGATAAGACTTTGCATTTAAAACTGACTGACCTTTGTTAGACCATGACTGAAAGCCAAAAAACACTGAATAGACATTTCGCCTTAGTATGGGACTCCCCAGGAATCACGAACGCAAAGAGGACTCCAATCCTTATCTAAGTTCTATGATGTAAATTACAAAATTCAGGTCCCCACAAAGCTCATATACTAATTATATAGATAGGAATGTAGAACTAGTCGTACGAATGTGTACAAAGTATCCGACAGAACTACATCAGTTAGAGGTAAGAGGTCTGTAGAGAAGGGAACAAAAGAGAAGCAGATGGCTGTGATGGAAGTAAAGAACGGAAAAGTTACAAGTGATTAAGACTAGTAGAAGGAGAGGTTTACCAGTTTTTGTATATATAATTTTGGTTCCTTCAAAAGCATATCAAGTGTTTCAGCAATATTAAGAAGACGGAAGATAACTGTCTTATACAGCCTTCTACTTACGTTGTAGATAATTTAAAACCCTGAATGCGTTTTGATCGAATGGTCTTTGTTCACAAAGTGTTCGATTAATGAACTGCTTTTTGATTGAGATCATGAACAGATGAATGATAGACCACTGTTGAGAACCTGGAAGCACTAGATGTCCGTTTCGTCCTATTGTGGGACTCCTCAGCAGGGCTCATCCACGATCCAGCATGCAGGATTCAAACCTAGGACCTTCAGTCTCGCGCGCGAACTCTAGACCACAGTGTTAATGTCTGACTTCATCCAATCTAGGAAATTGCGCGACCATCTTACATTGTGTGAGGTAGTTACCTATCTCTACCTGTCACGGATTAGCTACATTGTTCACGGCTTCTCACTAGGATTCCGACAATTCCCTCATGAAGCTAGTCACTAGTGAATACATGGTGTTCTAACATTCATCAGTTCATTATCTTAATCAAAACTTAACAATCTCCACAACCCTTATTATTAAGCCATTTCAGCAGTTTTCCAGCCAAACTGAATAGTGTTTATCTTCTATCTTCTTAGCATTATTGAAGCACTTGCTATACATTGGAAAGAACCAGAAATATGTGTACAAAAAGAAACTCGTACAGTCTCTTCTTCTACTACAGTCTTAATCACTGGTAAGTTTTCTTACACAGTATATATTTGCGGTTGTACAGCTTTGAAAATAAAGTCTCCGAAAAAAAGAGATCTCTGAACCAATCTTTCTCCCCAGTAATTACCATACTCAGTTTATTTCACAGAAAAAAAATTGTGACACTAATCGTAATTAACTATATTGAAATCGATTTTTTTACTCAGTTCGCCAACAATATCCCCACAAAAACCACCAGATATTTCTTATTTAATAGCGGTCTGTTTTATTTATAAATCAGTTATTTACTGCTAATTACGAAATCTATTTGTTTCCTGAATGTATTTTCAATACACATCTTGTTTAAAAAAATTCGTTTGATTCTGCGTAATAAAAAATAATGAAAAATAATCAATTATCATGTTCGACATTATGTGAATATTGTTTTACGAAACTCTCGTTTAGTTTCACAGTTAAATGAGTTTCTTTTCTTACAGTTGTTTATTAAAACAAAATTTATCATGGAACTAGGTTAAATAACTTATAATCCAAAGGCTCAGACTGATAATTTAGAACCCTGTTTCGTTCATTCAGTATCCTGTTAATCCTATTCTGTTTTTTATGATATCATTCTGAAAGCTAGCAGCATTGATGCGTATCAGACAAAGAGGCTCAAGCTCAAAAGAACTTTGAGCTAATGAGAGTAACTGATTCAGTTTTATAAATCAAATAACAGATTAGTGTTTTTAATAAACAATAATGTATTACGGCAAGTCGCACTTTGTGCAAAATATTTTATGAAATGGCAATTCTTTATAATAATTTCTCTTTTACTACTCAATTTAACTCACTTTCAAAGTTGCTTCCAATTCTATTTAAACCGTAGAAAAACTCACCACTGTATTTACTGATGGGCAATATGTGGTCATATTTTGTAACGGCTTAAATGAAAAGTCTGACATGTTATTGTACATAAGACCTAGAATAGTTATATTCGATCGTGTTATTATTTGTAGAGAAAATATAGTTAAATCAAATTGTTGAAAAGATTAACCCTCAACAGAATTTGAAAGGGATTCTTACTTATGAGTCTATATGATTCTTACGTACTTTTATAAAGACTTCATGGAAGCGAGGATCGAAAGCTATGTGCGATTAACATCTTTAAAGTCAGATGATTCAAAGTACTATTCAGATTATATAGGTATATAAAGATGAATCATACATAAATATCGTATTTGAGTTTGATCGAAGGTGCATGTGAATTGATGAAAACAGTAAAAGTTAACGCCTCTTTTATCTACTTAATACTTTACGGAAGAAAACTTGTTTAGTTTTTATTAACATTATATAATTAACTAATTGATATTCGGGAAGATGACTATTCATTTGATATTTATCATCTGTTGACTTACTTGTAATAAAAAGCTAATGAAATTCGAGCAATTTTATTAACGAAAATGGGTGAAATTTGAAGTATCCATCAGCTGTCCAAATGAGAATTTGAGTTTTTGAAATTTTCTGTCGACGTTATCTCGAACATCTTAAAACGATCATGTATCTCAATATCACTTCCAATCAGATCAACGTATAGAAGTCTTTTCATGACTATCGTAGTGCTAATATCAATCAATAAGCACGTTGGCACTGTTACGTATAAAATTGCTCTCTGAATAACGAATCTCTTGCATTTTGTGACTATGATTCAGTTTATATTGCATCTGATAATATAATTCATAACCATTTGTACTCGTTAATAGAATACGCCTGCCATCATAATTTGGTTAATTTTAGCCCAAAACTCTAAACGAATGTCAAAGTACTTTTCTAAAAGATGCTGCAGCTAAGCATTTAGCTCCGCAACCGGTATTTTTGAAGGGGTAGGTTGATTTCATAAGCCCAATACGAACTATTTAGTAATGTTAGACTGTCTTTTAAAATTATTAATAATACTATTAATTTATTATCCTACAACACTGTTATTTTTAAGAAAACCCATTTGGAAAACGGTCAAGTTGTATACAATCGGGATCTTATAAGGTTTTTCGTTTTAAAAAGCTTTACAAAGTAAAAAGTGCTTGCCGTTTACACACATAGGTAAACAACCAAATAATAAGGACCACTTTTTGTCAGAAACTATGAGTTTTTAATTATTGTTACATTACAAGCATAGGTTGACAGGAAGATATTTGCAACGTTCCTCAAAACTTATTATTTTTCAGAGGATGCATTTGATTCATATTCAATATAACTTATAAACACATCAAGAATAGTAGGAAATAGTTTTATAGAAATTTAATATAGACTGTATATTAATTAGCCATGAGTTCAGTGAGAAATACCAGTGTTGTAAAATATGAAAATATCCTTCAGCATTCATCACTATAAATAGAGTTGTACAGTTGGAGTAAATGGTTTGTAACTGATCTACATGTAAAATAATTCAATTTCGTCAAAATAACGCATTTTAAATGTTTATATCAATACTCATATATATGATGACTGAGCAATGGTTATTCAAATATACAAATATAATTTTCATTTTAAACGTATTCACAGTTTAACTAATTTTGCCTCCAAATGCTCTGGTATGGCAGAAAGTGGGGAGAGTCAGCTCTCCTTCAGCAAATGCTCTCACATGATCAATCTCATACAGCCATTACCAGGGAAGTGCTACTCACTGCCTTCTCGCGGCGGGACTGTTGTTTACGAAATTGAGAGAACGAAAGGTGAGTGTCCGACGCTTTACCCGGCTTGGTGGAAATGAAGGGTCCATCTAGAGGAGCTGGAAAACCCTTATTCTGAAACAATGATGCACATGGGTTTCAGAATCTTTAGATAACCATTGGCGTATTAACCAGTTGTTGGTCACCGGCTACCATGGGACTGCATCTCCTGACGTTGCTCAACTGCCATGAGGATTAAACCTTTTTGGTCAAAGGCTTTTGTGTGTGGCCCCCTAAGAAAACCATCTGCTTCGATCTGGGCAAGCGGGTAGTATCCTAACTCTCGCACAAATCGAATGATTTATGTGACTCATATATATTGTTGTGCCTCCTTGTAGCAATGTTTATATGTTCAAGGAAATAAATAAACGAAATTGACTGATTTTGTTCATGAGTTATTGTTTGTCATTCCACTTCTGACCTCACAATTAAATAAATGCCTTAAAAAGTACGTTTTTTTAAATGTAGTATGAGGAACTATCGTGTCTAACTCAGGCGTTACTAGTAAATACAAACAATTTCTGTTCGATGACTATCACATAGGTAGTATTTACAGAGTATATCGTACACCTTATGCTGATTTTACTTGAAAATGAATGTGAAACTTAATGACAGAGATGGTTCATAGGCTTTTAAGTTATTTTTTGTCACGCAATATGGAAAAAATATACACCTGAATGAGTCATAGCATTCATAATGCAAACTAGTTAAATATATCTTAATAAAGTTTAGTCCCCAAAATATTTCGTTTGTTTATGTAAATATTGTATGTTAAAATTGATATTTAAACAGTTTGGGTAGTGTTATTTATTATGTCCTTCATTACACTGTTTTTCTAGGATTAAGAAAACGGAGCAAAAGCAGTGAGTCAGAAAACCCCTAAATAATCCCACATTTACAGTTCAAATTTAGGAAATATTAAACACTTTATTCATTGAATACATGCTAATTCATTGTAAAATAAAGAGAAGAAACCCTGAAGTATTCCAACTCATAGGACTCATTCCATTTGGTGTTCCGAACGATAACTAACGTCTACAACCAACAATGCTATATTAGATGTTATTTCATTTCGATGAGGATGAAAACTATGTACACTAATCTTACTCGGATTCCGTTCTCTGTTGTGACTATTTCTTGAGGAAAATTAGCTATGAATAAATCCTCTTATGTTTGCAATAATTCTGTTGATGTGTTGTATGAAATGTCTGCATTAAATAACAGGACTCATATGATCGTGATAATATTGACAAAAGTGTAACATGATTGGCCGAATGTTGCTCAAATTTTCATTGGTCATATTGAAATATGTAATACAGACAACAGATATTTGCAGTATATATTTCACATTTTCTGCTTGAAAATACGTTCTTCAAACTGACTACGCTTTGTATTGTCAAAGCTGGATTAAATTAGGTGGAATTACAGCATGAATTCTAGGTTAGTTTTCAAAATGTTCTCACTACTATTCAGTTTTTTATCTTTTGTGAATTTATAAAACGCCCATTATTGAAAATAAACTGATTAGAACAATAGATAAGTTTAGAAAGTAACTAGTTGTATAGAAAATAGACTTTAAGTCATGAGTTGTTGATTTATCTTCGGTTGATTGACGCTAGCTGAGTGAAATATCTTAATAGCCATCCAACCTATTTTTTTCAATAGAACTAATAATATCACCGTACCATGTGTGTGTAAATAAGATATTTTTCCTTTCTCTAAAATATTCTGATGATAATGTGTAGAAGTAAGCATGCTTTTCGTTTGTTTCGTCGTAAACTGTTTCAACAAGCTGTTAATAACGATGATTTTTGATTAAGTAATTCATAGGGTCATAAGAAATGCTTGTTCGAGAATTCATCGAGAGTGAGCAGTATGATTACATAGAGATTTTTGTTTACTGCATGTGACTTAGCGTTTTATATGTTCTGAAAAAAGTGTTCTTCTCAATCACCAATTTTGCTGATTTTCAAAAAAAAATACTGGATGGTTTTACTGATAAGCTACAGGCTAGGGGAAAATAAAGATCGAAATTGACTTTCATTTTTTAGATAAATCGGATTAATTTAGCACTGACGTTCCTGTTTCTTGAGACATGGTCACACAATGTAGGCTATTAGTATTTACTCATAATTATTATCAGCAAATGACCATGATATACTGGCTTCACAATTAACCATTAATAATATAAGTGTATAACACTGCTATTAATTATACCGTTACGGTTTACGATACTTCTTATTTGCTGATGTCTTCGATAATTAGTTCAGTAATCCTGTAATTGCTGCATTTTTTATTGAGATATCATTCTAATATGTGTCAGCTGGCAATTCATCAATGATTAGATTTTGTTTATTTATATTCAACGGTATATTAGGTAAAATCTCCTGAAGTTCTCAAGTCAAATCAACATGCATCTACCCTAATTTTTTCTAATTTCAATTTATTCACATCTAACTTTAAATACAACATATTTTGCTTTATGGTTACTGTTAAACAAATTCTACCATTCAAATTAGCTGTGCGGTTACTTGGGTAAGTATTTTGTCTTCATGTCGAATAATAAACCGATGAAGGTAGCATCAGCAATCAGATGGGATTTCCTACTTGCTATTGTTTAAAACATACAATTTATATACTCAGCTTGACAGATATTCTTTGGGTGACTAACTGATTATCATGTGATTTGCACTTTTATATAACTTCATTATTTTTAGAACATAAGTCCACATGTGTTATAAATCATACGGATGTATCTTGAGTTTACAGTTTGGGAGTTCTGAAAATAAAATTTATACTAATTTGTCCTTAGTTAAGTGTGTTTAGATGGAATAAGAATAATTTATCCATGATATTTGAAATATATAGTGGTCAATACTAATTACTTATAGTTTGTGAAGTTTTATCGAAGACTGCGGCAATTGTAGTCGTACCATTCAAAACGTTTATAGAAATGCACTATCTACACGTTGTGTTTATAATGAATTTCATTTTTGTTATGGTGAAATTCACTTTTAAAGTTTAATAAATATCTATTCAGTGAAAATCAACAGATTAGAAAATAAAAATATATTTATAATTTATCAAAGAAACGATATTATATCGAGCACTACCATCGGTTGTTGCAGTTGTTGAACAAACTCTTAGGCACATAAACCACAATTTATGTCATAGTTCCGACGTTTACAAACTAATGATAATTAAGATATGAAACTAATTGAATTCTGAAAATCGCTTTCACCTTTTGAAAGCAAAATGCCTTTTAAAATCCGATTTGTTCTGTACATCAGTTTGAAAGAAATTTTGTTTTATACCTGAAGTATGCTGAAACGGTAGCTTGTATTCGATAAGTTAAAAAATATATACGGATCCCTTACTTAATAATTATTTGTAGATATTTACCATATAGCGAAATTTTAGCATATCTTGATTGAACTGATAGCAGGGCTTCATCATCATAACTCAAAATTTAAATTTTCAGTGGCAATGCAGAAAAGGGAGTATTATAGTAACCATAAGACAAAGCTAGTAGCTAATATGAAGTATGACAGCAATTAAATTAATAAAATAAAGCATTTAATTAAACTATATTACGTCGCATTAAATTGCATGACAAGCGTTGACAGAATAAATTAATGAGCTTTTTTAATTAACTGTATCATATACAAAGTAAATGAAATTAATTTAAAATAACACTTATCAACAAATGGTACAATGTATTCAATTCATTGAACTTTAAGGCTTAAAATGTAGACAATATTTATTATTTCAACAAATGGTTAATAGAAAGGTTCTAATATTTATGCATAAGAATATCGAATTTAGTTTTTTAAAGAACTGAATTCTTTATTTTTATTTACAAAAACAAACATGAAATAAGCAGCAATAAAAATAAAATTAATCCTTGTTTATACTGTAAAACTTATCATTAGTTGACATTATTCAGTATTTTTAATTTATACACATTGTGAAAAACAGAAAATTCTAATTGCATTGTTGTTACATAAAGGGAAATTAATAATCCGTTTGTTTTAAGTACTGTGATATTGAACTATGAATTAACCAGAAAAAATGTAGAAGAACAGAGATCAGTGTTATCCCTTCATCAATGCCAGATGAACTACATCCACTGCATAGTGATGTAGTGACTATGTAAATTACTTGATAATTTAGCAGTTCCTGTAAGTTAAACATAAGTAGCCATTATCAAATGATATGGTCCTTTACAATCTACCACATAATGTCGTTGTATAAATTTAAATTCTATGGACACCTATTGATTATCTTTCAGTTCATTCAGTCATGTCACATGAACTTACACCATAGATGATTAAAAAAGTCAGTTAATTTGAAAATTCAAAAAAAACCTACAATTTTATTCATTTTTGAGTTCAGTTTTCTCTCAAACTGTAATTTATCAAGTGAATAAATGTATTAGTAAACTGCTTTAACTTAAGTTATTACAACTATCTAGATAGATTGTTTTACCATTTATCAGATCAGTACTTATGTTTATCTAACTAGTTTCAATAATATACAGCTTCTCTTTTCTGAATAATCTCTAATTCAGTAAGCGTCAAGGCGTTGATTGACAGAGTACTATATGTAATTACTTATCAACTAACCCATGCCTGTTATCCCTCGTGAAGGAGTATAAGCAGCAAACAAGCAGTCTCCAACAAACTCTGTGTTCGGCAATCCTTTCCAGTTGTTTCCAGTCGCCATCCATTCTCTTCATGTCTGCTTCCAATTCCCGATACTGTGTGTCCTTCGCTCTTCCACTTTTCCGTTTCCATTCAAGATTTCAAGTAAGCACTTGCCTCGAGATGCAGTTTGATGATTTCCGCAATGTATGCCCTATCCACCTGCAGCGTCTTTTATCAATTTCCTCTTCAGCTAGAAGCTGATTTGTTCTCTGCCACAGTAGACTGTTGCTGATGATATCCAACCGACACAGTTGTTTAGAAATACTTGTACATTTTTGATGATGGTTGTGATAGTTCTCCACGTTTCATCTCCGTACAGTAGGACTGTCTTGATATTCGTATTGAAGATTGTGACTTTGATATTGGTTGACAGTTGTTTTGAGTTCCATATGTTCTGCAACTGTAGAAATGCTGTCCTTGCTTTTTCAATCCTGCATTGACATCTGCATCTGATCCTTCTTGTTCGTCGATGATGATGACCAGGCACGTGAAAGCTCTCACCTCTATCCTACTTTCTCCATCACGTGTGATTGGGTTGGTGCTCTCTGTGTTGTATTTGGGGATCTTGCTTTTTCCCTTGTGTATGTTGAGGCCTGTTGATGAGGAGTCTACTGCTACACTGGTTGTGTTGACCTGTAATTGTTGGTATTTATGGGTTAGAAGGGTCGGGTCATCTGCGAAGTTCAAGTCATCTGGTTGCATACAAGCTGTTCATTGAATTGTGTGCTTCCGCCGAGATGTCGAGGTCTTCATGATCCAGTCAGGTACTAGGAGAAAGAGGGAGGATGAGAGTAGACAGCCTTGTCTGACACCGGTCTTCATTTGGAATGCATCTGTAAGCTGTCGTCCGTGAACGACTTTGAAATGTAGTCCGTCGTATGGATTCCGTATGATGTTAACAATTTTCTCAGGTACTTCATAGTGTCGAAGAATATCGTATAAGGTTTTCCTATCCACTTTGTCAATTGCTTTGGCATGGTGAAGGAATTTGATATATAGTGATGATCTTCATTCAGTTGATTGATCAACGATGATTCGTACTGACGCGATTTGGTCTGTTATCGACCGATCCCTACGGAATCCGTTCTGTTGATCTCAAAGTCGGGCATCTACTGAATCTTTCATCCAGTCTAGCAACATTATTGAAAACTTTTCCTGGTACTGATAGTAGTGTGATGCCTCTGTAATTCTCACATTTCCTCAGATATCCTTTCTTTGGTGAGATATCTCACGTCTTCCATTGTCCTTCTGGTTTTTTTATTGATACAAATATGATCTATCTGGTTCTCTTTGGTGTGATCCAGTGAGACCTATGCAGCCTTGTGTATGCGTTTGTGGGGGATGTACTGTACCGTTTTGTATTGATTCTTTGTAATGCTGTTTTCCCAATTGTCCAGTGGTTCTCCAGCTCCAGTTTCATCTTGGCAACTCTCAGGTAGTGATTTGATGTTATGTCAACTCCTCTTTCAGTTTTAACGTCTCCCATTGAGCTTCTGGACTTATAATTGAAACGAATATGATTGATCTAGTTCTCTGTGATGTGGTTCCGTGAAATCCATGTAGCTTTGCATGTCAGTTTGTGGAGGAGTATGGTGCCGCCTATAGCCAGTTTGTTGCATGCTCCTAGTTTATTAAACCTGTCGACATTCTCGTTCATTTCTTACATTCCATGTCGTCCCATGATATCTTTATATCCAGTGTTGTTCACCCAGACCTTGAAGTTAAGATCTCCCATCATGATAGTCAGCTTCTTTCCTGAGCACTCTGCTATGATCGATTGCAGCCTCTCATAAAAGTGATCTTTATCGTCTTCATTGCTATCATTCGTGAGTCCATAGCTGCTTAACTTCCGTTCTTAATAAAATTTGTTCTGATTGTTTTTCTGGTGAAGAGTTTTTATAACATAGAATCAACCTTCAATTTAAAAACACACAGATTAGTGTCGTAACAGGATCACGTTCTAGGTTTTTTTGTGTTATTATGAAAACAACCCATGAAGATGACTTTTAAAACTCCCCATTTCCTGTATTGAAAATTCACTATTGTGAGTAAAATATAAATCTTGATCTAACAATATCTTATATCTGAATGTTGTTTAATGACAAAATCATAATGAAACCAGTTTCGTTTGTTATAATGATACAGAAGTATCATGTACCTATCAAAGTGTTGAAATATATGAGTAAATAGGAAACCTCTTTTGAAGTACATAGTTATTTGCTTTTAGTTTTGCAGAAAATAAAGTCATCATTACATTACGCATTGTTTTGGGAAGAAATACAGAGATTTTCTTTGATAAATAAAAGTTGATTAAGAACCGCTCACTTTATTCTTCTAAAAAAAAATTTCTTTTAAATTCGCTTAAATAAATAGAATATGAGAATTTGTTTTTCAGTTTCTTTTGATTTGCAACAATCCTTGCTGTGATGCATTGATAATATATCAGATTTTGGTTTTGTTTAGATTACAATGTACTCTGAAAAATCAGCATTTTAAAGTTTAAAACATTAGTCACTGATTTCTATTATCATTTGTTTGTTTATAACACTTCACTAAGTGATAGTAAGTTGTTGAGATACAAATTAGAAACTCATTATAAAATTGATCTATGAGTCTTTTTGTGTAGTTCAATCATTTTCTTCGTAATCGCATTCTTAAATTAGAAATCCCGCCATGTTGAAGGACGGAAAATAATTTTATGTTAGTTTTCCGACCTATCTCAATAAATGAATTTTTACTTGAAATCAGAATTTTAAACAATAACAATAGCATGGCTGTAATCTTTGAAAAAGTAAACTGATAAAAATTGTGAAAAGGTTTCAAAGTTCATTCACTAAAGTAATTTTCAATTAGTGTACTAAAATATACTAAAATTATCTATTACATTCACGTTAACGTGAATTAATCAAAAATTAGACATTTTCACGAACTCATAGATCTATTTGATAATGGTTAAAACCACATAATTGAAATTACGTGCCGTATGAATAGCCATAAATAATAAAACTTTGAAGATGAAATGACAAAGTAACAGATAACTGTAGTATATGTGAAGTATTTTTAAACATTTTTATTGTTTGTATACCACTAAATTCATTAACTCACAAACATCATTTAAATAGTGCAGATATTTATCCACTTGAATAATGGTTAGAGGAAACGGTTTATTATTTTGAATGTAGTCATTCCAGAAAGTTTTAAGATAGTAAATTTAATAAAAACAACATTCATTTTACTGGTTATCTTCTCAATTATATTCGGACATTTTAAATTTTTAGATAAAATAGTTTAGAAAAACAACGAAAGTAAGATTATGGAATTCCTCCCTGAAATTAAAAATAGTTTATTCTTAGTCTCTACTTGTAGTGAAGTTACAACTGTTGTTTATTATCTTTGAGGACTTTTGGGTGAAATGATTTGATATACCTTTGACCTCATCATGAACGTATAAGATCAGCTTTTACTTTGTGAACATCTTTCTTCAGGTAAATTTGCTTATCTTCGACTACTAGTATAGTCTAAAAGAGCATAACATTTCAGATCAGCCATTTTGGTCTAAACACAAATATGTACTAAGCTATGCAAATGTATACATTGCTTTTCTTAGTTTCATTTGAGTACACTGAGGTAAAATAAGGCTATGTTCGTCATGACGTTTTTCTACGTAGTGTTTCATAAAAATGTAAAAAAAGACGAACTAATGATCTTGTTCTTGTCAGTAATGAGCACGTTTCCTCTTGATATTCAGTTATGACATGAAATTTTTCATATAGACTTTTCAGAAGATATGTCCCACTTAAATAAGTGAATTAATGATAGTATATAAATGTTTTCTAATCTTACACTAAATTAAATAATTTAAAGGTGATTTTTTCATTCACTTCACTGGTTTAGACAAAAGTACTCTGAAAAAAGCCCAGAGATTAATAATCAATTTTATGGTAAATGAATCTGATAACTTGGTGATTTCATACATATCAAACCATAAATTTTATCTACAGTCAAACAGTATTTATAATATCAAAGCGAACACTTATGAAAGCAACGTAGTGGACACGATAAAATTAAGGCAATAAATGATATAAATATTATGAACCTTACATGCTACACCTAGGGTCTTGGTATTCTTCTGTAATATCTGTCTATTAGGTTCACCCATTTGACATTTTCATGAATTTAAGGACTAGTGTCATATAGCCAATAAGTAATAATTGTATAGAGACAAATTATGCACAAAAATTATTTTAATAAAATAATAATAATAGGTAAGCACTCTAGTAAATTCATTTAAGTACATGAAGATTGCCGTAAATAACATGTTAATTAAAAATAAATACGTTTTTATATTCTTTTTTAATGACTTTTGTGTCATCAGACAATACTTGAATAATAAACTACTTTTTTTCAGGAATATATCAAATGAAGAAAGATACTGAAAAATGAATTCATCTATATCACGCCATACTAAGCCTCCACAAATTCAAATGAAATTATCTGAAACAAAACAACAAGAAAATGTACCAGTAAATAATTCACCAACGATACCACAATGTACACCTACATCATCGACACAATCAGAAGCTGATGAAGAAGTACGAATAGTGTTTTTAGGTTCAGCTAAAGTTGGGAAGACTTCAATCATTCAACGTTTTCTCCATAACCATTTCGAAACAAAATATACACCAACCGTTGAGGACATTCACTTGAAAAAGTTCATAGTGCGTGATCACATAGTAAAACTTGTTTTAATAGACACTGCTGGCAGTTATGATTTTCCAGCTATGTTACGGTTATGCATAAGTAAAGCAAGTGCATTTGTTATTGTATTTGCTCATGATAGCCTTGATTCACTCGTACAAGCTGGTCAGCTATTATCACAAATTAAATCTCAACGTAAAGATTATGTCTCTATAACTTCAAACTTATCGCATGAGCAAAGTGGAGATTGTGTACCTAGCATGAACATGGCATCACCAATTACTGTTGTGTGCAATAAGTCCGATTTACCAAATTCATATTCACAAATCAGTGAAGGTGCCATAATGGAATGGTTGCTTACAAATGGTTTAAAGCCATCACAATTCGTATATGTCAGTGCTAAAACAAACGACTCAATTATGTCAATATTTGAATCACTATGGTTACAAAATGATGTGAGTAAGGCAATAACGTTAGTTAAATGGGATGGTACTAGACGAGCTAGTCTGAGTACTACCCAACAAGCCGGAATAACTACTAGTACTGGCAGTAATACAATCAGTAATACATCGGGGAATATGTTGCCCACTGGAATAAAAGAAACAGATTTTTCTGCGCTCAGTGGAACTGTACCTAATAATACTGTCTCATCGAATGATAGTAATATCAGTCCTAATACTCTTAGTAATGAATTATCTGATGTGAGTATAACTGAACGAAAGCACTCAAAGTTTCGTCAAGGAATCTTTCGTAATAGTTTGCGTTTAAGTCGAAGATCTAGTGGAAAGACAAACAAATGTAAACCAGATTTAGTTTATCTAGATTGTACAATATCTTAATAGCAATTTAAATGCTTTATTAAGGAATGCATAATTAACTTTTTTTTTGTGAAACTCTGTATCCAAAAAAAGTCTGGATAAAAAAATATCTATTTCCTAGTTACCATCAAAAATACGTTTAAAATTATTCCATCCTTCGTTCCTTATATAAATTATCATGTATTCTTCATTGTCGATATAAAATGTCTACAAAAATTCTTATATGGTGTCCTAGAAAATATGTTGTCTATATTAGTGCGTCTATTTCTTCTGTACATTCAGTGAAAATTTACTTATATGATATTTTTGTAAATCTCAAGTAATTATCGAACAGAAAAATAAAGAAAATTATAAAAACTCAATAAGTTTTCATTTTATTTTAATTATTTTCTGTTAACAATTCCTATAATGATACTAGTAAATTCACTTTCTGCACAATTTCATCTCATTATTTTTTTTAAGTAAATATGTTTCTAGGACTACAACAATGAAACAGCATGATGAAGATTTTACTTAACTAAATGTATGTAGCTTAAATTAGAAATTTGCAATTTCAAATATAATATAAATGATCATATTTACTCAGTGCTAGTAGTTTTTTACGATATAAATATATGTCCATTAAAACATAATTTTAGAAGAAAATTTGATCTTGTAATTTAAAACGGTAGACCAACTAGAACCATAATAAATTTTAGGCGGATATTTTGCATGTAATCTATTTTTCTAATAAGTCACTATTTCAACTTGAATGAAAAACATCATACATACAATATATCACTTGTATCTGCATTATTATACAAATATATATACAACAAGTCGGTAATTATAATAATTTCTAGTAAACTAAATAAATTGACGGAAAGAAGTTAAGTGTCAGTTTCCGGAACAGATATATTGATTCGATGTTTCTAAGTTAATTGGTGTTTACGATAAAATCATACGACGAAAATATCAATTGCCTACAGTGTTTGCTAAAATCGCTCCAAACTTAAATGATGCCATACACAGAAGTTGATTTCTGTTAGTGTCCATTACCACAGTTATTCTAACGATTTCATTAATTTGAATACGGGTAAAGGAACTTCGATTTTGTTTTAGGTAGCCTCTCACTCAGACATCATCGGTAAGTTAAATATGATAAAACACATAAATTGTTAACTTATGTTTTATTTCTAACAATAATTATTGTAACTAGTCTCATTATTCTTAACATTACAAGAAAAAACGTCTTACTTCTTATCAACTTAGTTATCCAAGTATTTGCATTTTCTTATACCTTCATTAATTATTAATATTTCTATCACAAGTGTAGTAATCAATATTTTTCGGTAATTACTATGAATTCTATCATTTTGGGTACCCTTTACAGTAAGAATATGCATATGTTTCTTGTTCTAGATTACATCATGATCTCTCTCTCTCTCCTACTCTCATAGTCCATCAATTGAACTTGTATGAATTTAGAGGGAACTTGTGATTATTCACTAGTAAACGTGGTATTTTGGGTGTTACACAAACTCACAATTACTTCAATATAGAAAGTAGGTCGAAATTTAGAAAAATAAACTGATGTTGCTGTTTATTTGGAAGATTTAGAGGATATAAATGACTGAATTCACCTCATCCCACTATCCTTTGTTCTTGATTTACATTGAATGTTTTACTTTTGAAATAAAGTACCCAGTAGACAAGAAACTATTAGCATGCCTTGTTCACTACTGTCAATTAACATTGGATGACTTCCTTTTACTATTCATTATCATTCAAAATAATTAAGTTGATAACCATCTTTCTGGAATATAGATTTAATTGGTGTTATCATGAATAACACAGATACCACGGTTCTCATGCACATTTATAATAATGACAAAATTAGTTAATTACGTCATAAACATATCGTTTTATGCGAATTAACATTTAATTAAATTTTTTGTGAAAACCAATCATTCTTATTTGTTTGGAAGTCCTCTCAGATTTAAAATGACATTGTTTGGATTACAGATGTCATTATTTATACTGTAGTTTTGAACAATTACCTTATTTTTTTCTCATCGTAAAGGAAGTAGGTAAAAAGTACTCGGTTTTAAAGTAAATGTTATATGTAATTATGTTAACATATTAAAACATCTTGTACTTTTAAGGGTTTTGAAGCTAGATAAATTCAAACTTCAAGCTCAGTACTGAAGTCTCAACACTTGACTTACTCTAAGGATGTAAAAGCGTCAGATCACTATGTCAAGCACCACCCACTAGTAGGCATTTTACTCAGCTGGTGGG